ATAGAAATATGGAGTTGTTGCTACATATGTCTCAAAATTGGATGCACACTGTTAGACGGTTTTAACATTATATAGAAATATAGAGTTGTTGCTACATATCTCTCAACAATTGGATGCACACTGTAAGGCTGTTTTAACATTATATAGAAATATGGAGTTGTTACTACATATGTCTCAACAATTGGATGATCACTGTTAGACTGTTTTAACATTATATAGAAATATGGAGTTGTTGCTACATATGTCTCAACAATTGGATGTACACTGTAAGGCTGTTTTTACATTATATAGAAATATACAGTTCTTGCTACATATGTCTCAAACATTTAATAACATTTAATACTGTTTAAGTAATAATAACTTCTGCATTCAATACCAGTGTTATTGGATGTTTATATGAATTATATTATTGATAGGTTATACCAAGTGGTTGTTTTTTTCTAAAAAAAAAATCCATAACGACGTTCTTATATTCCAGATATCCCTCAACTTACCCTTCGTCTAGGAAGTAAATTACGCCACAGTCATATTCAAGAAGGTAACGATGTTTATCTAGAATGTAAAATTCGATCAAACCCCCCCTCCTCTGAAATAGTTTGGAGATTTGATGGTCACGAGCTGAGTACCAACACTTCAGCTGGAATTATAATTAGCAATCAATCTTTGGTATTGCAAAAGGTTAAAAGAAGCAACAGAGGACATTATACCTGTTCAGCCTTGAATAGCGAGGGAAGAGGTGAAAGTAATACAGTATTTCTTAGAGTACAGTGTAAGTTCGCCATTTCTAGCCATCTTTAACTCTGAATACAACGGTTTTCTTCCCAAATTGATAATATTCAAATATGTTTCTTAAATTTCATTTTTTCTGAGGAAGTTAGTAAAGGAGGTTAAGCCTTGCCCACGGGAAGTTTGTGTGGGCAGTCATCCATAAGCGTTCCACAATACTATGTTTCGTATCATTCAGATTTCTATGAGTTGTTTTCTTAATAAATATGTTGTACTCCGTTATGTTTTCGTCATTTAGTTTCTGTTATTCTTTTGTCCTGTCATCAAGACAGTGTGATAAAGTTATGCAGAGCTGATAAATAACTTCTATAGCAGATTCTTAAAAACAATCAGAAAACAATTTCAATGTGTTATCCTAATGTGCAGTTTTCGAATACACAAAAATATACAGTAAAATAGTCAACTAAAATATATATATATCACTTGTAGATCCGTTGCTATGACGATTATATTGTCAATACTCTTGCAATGTTTGTCCTGTCGTAGCTTTGTGGCTTGCGTGACAGGCTGCTAGTTGAAATATCCTATATTCGAGTCGTGACGTCCCAAGTATGCTTCGAACTATCGGTCATGGGCAAGTTATAAGAATTGCAATCAATCTTGTCACTCGGTTTAAAAACCCAGACAGAGGTCAAAGCCCTTGTGTTAGCAAATGCTGCTGACTGTCTATCCCTCAGTTGGTCAGTGATAGATAATTAAGGATAGCAATATTTGAACCAACTTCGATCACTCGCCATTCAGAATAAAAATTTGAATTTCACAAAGAATTCAACTTCACAAAAAATCTCCACACTTTATTATATTTATTTGGGAACGTGCTTTTGGAATATATTTATATAAAAGTGTACAGATGTAATATGTCTCCAGAAATGATTGTAATGAAAACATATTTTCCAATTTCAAGCTCATATACATATTTTTTTCTATAGTAAAAAAAAACTGTTACTCCTTCCTTAAATAACCCACGAATTACAGATTTGGATGCTAGTAGCGCTTAACTCGGTGATATCAATACGAAAAATATCAATATTCATGACAAAATATTTTGTTTTTCATGTAATTTACTGTATACAGTGATTATAGGGTTGAGTACGTTATAGTAAAACGATTTTGGAGCCTCATTGCGTCGCTAATGTCGCTGTCGTCACGTCCTGTCACATTCTATCTGACTACTGTGAATCTGGACCTTAGTTATGCAGCGTAGATTCCATCTCAAAATTTTCTTCATAAGGCTCTCATGTCTAAAGCATATCAGTTTCCCCTGCTAGCTTTCCATAATCTATCTGGACGTAGCAGCTTACACTCCTAGGGCACAATACGATTATGGGTCCTTTAATTTTAATATGCTAAAAATAGTTCTTGGAATGATTAACTCAGTTTTAATTTCCATGCAAAAAGCTTCCCAACGCCTGTTTCAACAGTCCAATCACACAAAAATTCATAGGCGCCTGCGTCAGACGACTTGACCACCATGTCATCGTACGGAATAGCTTGAATGTTCGTGTAAATCTTCACTTCTTTGAATGAACAGAGAGATATTTTTATTATGCTTCCTATTGTTTGCTGAAACATTTTGACATTTATGTTCCAATATTGTAGCTTGTTATAAGACAACGTACCTGGCTTACAGCAGCTCGAGTACAACTTGTTGCAGGTCTCTTTGTGGATGGTCCTGCTGCCTCAAGTTGATCCATATTCCCTTGTTTTTCAATATCAAGTACAAAAATATCCTCGTTATGGAAATTTTAAATTTCGAAGCTGGGCTTATCTGTATGATCTGAGTGTTTGAACATTTTGCGTCAGAAAGGGCTGTTACATACTCTTCCTAAAAGCGATAAATATTCGGGACTATCACAGAATCCACAAAACGCCAAATAATGTCAATATGTAGACGTAACACCAGCAGTTCTACAGCAAATTTATATCGACTGTTGTTGTCGCGTGCCTTGTTGATTTGCACATTCAAAATAGGTTTAATTCAAAATACTCAATCCTCTGAGTTAGGTAGTAGTGAATGATTGAGCTCAGATACATTAGGATTGGATGAACAACTTCATAATGCTACAGGAGAGATGTAGAAATCTTATAAGCATCCAAGAAAACTGCTGTAATTAGCTCTAAGTTTTGTGCTTTCTCGTAATTACTATTGCTCCATTACTCAGTAATCACATAATTTCACGTTATACGAAGTATTTGAAGTTTAAGAGAAAACTCTAAATGCAAAAGGATCAACTCATACTTTAGGGATTTCTCATATTTCTTAGAAGTATCTTACGGAAATATTTCTTATGGTGAAGATGTAGCAATACATAGCTTTAGTAACAAAACGCTAAAGAGATCATAAGGTTGAATTTGCATGGTACCAAATAAATTACATGATTGGATAATTTGTAGTTGTCTTACTACATGATTGGATAATTTGTAGTTGTCTTACTACATGATTGGATAATTTGTAGTTGTCTTACTACATGATTGGATAATTTGTAATTGTCTTACTACATTATTGGATATTTCTGCCTATCCTATTTATGGCAGTTTTTGTAACATTTTTCAGTACGTTGATAATTTGCATATCGCACGTAGATACAACCAGTGTCTTGAAACAAGAGATAATGGAACCAGGTTCAATAACTTGAAATTAGTTTTTGTAGCACATTCCATATCTTTGTGGTGCTCCAAGCGTTTTAGAAATGTTTAAAATACAAACAAGAAACGTATAACATAAAAACAAACTGTGAACTTATTACTTTGTTCATCCGCTGAGATTTTCTAAGAAATTTAAATGATGTTGTTTTATATATGTTAGAAGTTAGAGGTTAAATAAAGGAATAATATCAAATTCTTTTATCATCATAAGTTGTTATTTCATTAAATTATTAACACAAACTGAATTACCAAACACAACTAACTTTGATTTGCATCTACTCAAAATAGTTCTTGGAAAGATTAACTCAGTTGCAATTTCTATATAATAACTGTTTTTGCAGTTTAGTTGGCTATATTTTGGAATATAAATACGGAACGAAATTACTACATTATTATATATAATATCTACTTTTGTGTTATGCATTTTTTGGAGTTTCGAATATAAAAATACAATTGCGAGGCCCATCATGACCAGGTTGTTAGGGTGCTCGACTCGCAATCTGTCACACCAAAAATGCTCGCCCTTTCAGCCGTGGGGGCATTATAATGTGTCGATCAATCCCACTATTCGTTGATAAAAGAGTAACCCAAGAGTTGGCGGTGGATGGTGATGACTAGCTGCCTTCTCTCTAGTCTTACACTGCTAAATTAGGGAGGGCTAGCGCAGATAGCCCTCGTGTAGCTTTGCACGAAATTCAAACAAACAAACACAATTGTGGCTAAATGTGATATGGAATAGAAATAATATGAATGTATTAACTCTGGCGATAAACAGTAATGTTATTTTAAATGAAGCTGCAAATACAGTAGTAGTCAAAATGTTTCACCTTCAATTGTTACAAATACCGCGTGAATACAGTTACTATATTCGGTTGAACTACAATTAAATAACAACCTAGCGGCTTTCCAGAGAATGATACATCATATGTTCTGGTCGATAAAAGTCGAAACGTCTTAAATAATACACATACATTTGATTATATGATTTTATGTTATAAATTAACATCCAGATGTTTATTATACATCTAATTAATAATTATATGTGAAATTTATATTTTTATCTGGTGAGAAAATTTCCAATTTAAGTTATTTTATTATTTTAAATAGATAAACCTCAATGCAAAAATGACCAGAGGTTTCTGTACGGGACGTCAAAGAACGAGGCTGTTAATGTCTCATGTGGCGTTGAAGCCGACCCACCTGATGTCAGATTTCGTTGGAAATTTAATAATTCAGGCCATGTGGTAGACATTCAAAATTATTACCAGGAAAACTCCAGAAGTTTAGCAACTTATACTCCTAGGACACAGTACGATTATGGCTCATTGTTGTGTTGGGCAACAAACGCTGCTGGTTCACAAGATATCCCATGTGTTTTTAGCATAATACCTGCAGGTGAGATAAAATGACTTATATGTAAGTTTAGTAGCTGAAACTGGTCTCAATTAAATATTTTCACAGTAACGCAAATAACGAACAAGATAAATACTGGCATTATCGTTGTAACTTTTTTTTTTCAAATCTGATATATTTATATGTTCTGTGATTTTCTGGGTCACATAGGTAATTCTGGTGAACAAAATATAAAAAGCCCAAAGTAATCACACGTAAATAATTTTGAACTGGTAAAAAATTAATAATCAACATTTTGTTGTTGTTGTTAATGTTATTAATACAAATGTTTAAAAAAAGGGCTTCTCTGACTGTTAATGTAATTTTTTTTTTTTCGAAAACACAGGGTGTCCGAAAGTTATGTGAATTATTAGAAACGTATATCTGGACAACACAATAACAATTACGAACCTACGATTTATGGTGAATGAGGGGGCACATTTATACAGTTTTCACACATCATTTATCATCACAACATCTCATATGCTCCGTATGTGTCCCTCAAGATATCGAGTTGATATTCGATTTCCATCTATGTGTTATGCTCTAAATTCGTCAAAGAACAACTGAAGGTGCTCATTAACATGAAACATTATCCTATAAAAGTATAAACAAATAACACGACGCCATCTATTGCTCTAAAAATGAAGTAGCCTCGTACTATCAACACTTTAAAAAGTGATAATTATGTCTGTTTGCTTGGTGTTGTCAAACTAGAAGCTTCGATGGGCTTTCTGTAGTATTTCCTCTGAGGGGATCGATTCCAAAATGTTAATCCATCAAGCTTATCGCGTATGACAGTGAAGTTAACATTCCATACATCGTTGTCTCATATTTGTATAATTGTGAAACCTATAGGAAAATTCTATTCACTCGGAAATGCACCACAGTGGCACAGCGGTATGTCTGCAGACTTACAAGGCTTGAAACCCGTTTTCGATACCCGTGGTGAGCAGAGCACACATAGCACATTGTGTTGCTTTGTGCTTAATTACAAACAAACAAACTCGTCCAGAAATTAGAGAGCTGAAATATTTACTATAAAATAAGTGTTACAAATATTTTATTTTAATTAATTCACACCTGCAGATAGAAATTGTTATTATTTTAGTGTGAATAATTTAAATGACCTTATTGTATGAGGATAGTCGAGAATATAAACATAATCATGCACATGTGAAATGATATATATGTCGTTTTCTAATATAAACCTTAGACATTTATTTAAAAATATAACATATTTTGCCTCAAATTATTGAAAATAAGAATGATGTTTTTTGTGTTTTTTTAAATTAAGGAACACTATATGTTCGAAGCGCTTACAAACGCTACAGCTACTTGACAGACACTATATCTCGAAGATATACATTTATATATTTCTACATAAAAATGTAAAATTGGTTCTTATTTCTACAACTGACTTGAATGATGTGTTCAGAGTTTTCTGATGTATTTTCGAGAGATATATTTCCGCATCTCTAAGGTATCTGTGATATTTACGATTCCAGGAGCACCGGATCCTCCAAAGAATTGTACCGTGGTGAATAAATCAGAATCTTCTTTTAGAATCGAATGCTTAGAAGGCTATAACGGAGGACTCCCCCAATATTTCACGATGGAAGTTCGTGACAAATATCTAGAATCTGTCTTACTCAATTTAACAACCAAACAACCAGTTTTTACAGTCGACGGTCTTCGCTCAGGAAAGACTTTTGTTGTAACCATTTCATCAGTAAATGTCAGAGGAAGAAGTCACAGAGTGATGCTGAAACCAAACACGCTCCATGTTCCAGAAACTCTAACACATAAAGGTTTGTTAATAGGAATAAAAAATACAACTTTAGATATTCAACTTACTTATTAAGTTGGGTGTTCAGTGTTATCAGTAATCGTAAGTAATCACCTTGTTCTTTAGAATTAGGGCGCTCGACTCGCAATCTGAGGGTCAAGGTTCGTATCCCCGTCCCTCCGAACATGCTTGTTCTTTCAGCCGTGGGGGCGTTATAATGTGACAGTCAATCCCACTATTAGTTGGTAAAGAGTTGGCGGTGGGTGGTGATGACTAGCTGCCTTCCCTCTAGTCTTACACTGCTAAATTAGGGACGGCTAGCGCAGATGGCTCTTGTGTAGTTTTTCGCGAAATTCAGAACAAACCAAACTAATCAAAAACATTAAAAATAATAGAATGGCCAAATCTACATTATCTTGATGTAATTCCATTTAAGCGTTTTCTCTTCCCCTTTATCATCAGAAATAAAGTATCGTTATTTCTATTACCATTAAACACATTTGGTGATTAAATCGTGTAATTATATCTCATCATATTTATATCTTTATTCGTCATATACATTTTTATTGTTCACTTATCGTGGAGATATACAACATGAAGTTTATAGCAATCAGCCGGCTTGAAGAGCCATGATGTTTGATGAAAGGAAATGTCTCATCATCATCACTAGATACAGCGGATGTAGTGTACTTTCATTTATATGTTCTTATAGCTTTTAACAATTAACTGCCTGAGGCCTTACGATGTTTGATTTACTGATACTCAAGCATCATCAATTCATATTTTAAAGTGAAACGTTAATAGAAACGTTTAGTACAAAATCAAACTATTTCCTTTATAACTAATATAACGCTTTGATTATTACGACCCATGGCAACAGATTAACGAAGTTTTGTACTTTCTAGGATGAAACAAAGTTGTATTTTTATAAACTTTTTACGTGCATCCTTAAGGAAATTAAGTTGAACACGCACGTACC